ATCACCAAAACCCTAAGCACTTTTAAAGCAATCTAATTTTCTGTTTCTATAAACACATCTTCAGAAAGAAACAATTTATCACTTTCTTTGTGACTTTGTTCCTTATTAAGGTTATTTTTCCTAACAATATTTTTACAGATTCAAAAGATGTTTTATTTCCTTCCTTTGCCCTTAGTTATTCCCTCTATCTCTACATTTAAATATTGATAAACATACAGTATAATTCTATAAATGCTAAATAGCTAAGCATTACACACTTAGCTTCTTTTATTTTTCCTCAGATAGCAACCTAAATATATTCACAATTTTGAGATGTACTTTCCTAAATGTCTGTTAGTTGGACTCTCTTTTTCAATAATGAGTGCCAAGTATGTAACAGAAACAATTGTGTTTTTACCCTCTCTTCCTGTTTTTTAAGCTGAGGGGAGCCATGGGACAGCACAAGGATGCTTATGAAGAAGTAAAATGAGCATGTGACAAAATGGCTTTCCTCCCCCAGAAAAGTTAGTGACCAGATTAAAGGGGGTTCAATCAAACAAAACTGCACTAAATTAGATTTGCAAGGCTGAAATTGCCTAGTGATCATTTCCATGGCAGAAACCACAGACAATTATGCATCTTCCAGGTCAGCAATGTGGGCGATAAAACTGTCTGGACCACTATCATTGACAAATGTGAGCTCATAGCTCAGCTGAAATTGAAACCAGTTATGAAAGAGAACTACCAGATGCCTTAGGCCTGCATACAAAATATTCCAGGCATCCTTGCAAATCAAATAATTAACACACATCTTTGAGGATCTATTTTGTGAATGTTTCTGCACAAAACTAAGTGGCAATTATTTATGTGTTTGTTTTTAAGTCTGGTTTTAATCTTGACTCTGCAAATTAATACCACTTCTCTGAGTCTATATTTTCCTATCTTTGAAATGGGTAAAATTATACCTATCCCTCAAGATCATTGTTTATTGACACTTCCAGGCAAGATGGCAGCATTGGTAAACATGGCTTGCCTCCTTGCACAACCATGTCAAAATTACAACTAAACTGCATAACAGCCGTCATTCAGGACCACCAGAAATTGAGCTGAATGTAATTCCTATAACTGTGGAACTAAAGAAGAAACCACATGAGACTGGTTGGAGACACACAACGGACTGGTCCCACACACATGTGTGGCAGGTAGAAGTCAAGAGGGATATCTCAGGAGCAAGGGATTCCAGCCCCACACTAGGTCCCCCAGACAAGGGTTCCAGGGCCAGGAAGGTAAGTCCTAATAAATTCTGATTGTGACAACCAGTAGGAATTGAGGCTGTGGATGAAAGAAACTTCTGAGGTCCCAGGAAGTTACTCCTATAGGACATGTCCATGGACTTACTTGGACAACCCTTTGAGTTTCAGTGTGAGGGCAGCAGCTTGAAAGGCACCAGAGACATGGGAAGGAACTGAGTTGTCCAGCATCAGGGTGAGAGCTGAGGGGGCAGATTTCTGCCAGACAGAAGTGATGGCAGAGACCGTTGTTCTTTTACAGAGTCCTCTTCCAACAGAGCCAGCAGGAGAACACCATATCTGAGACTCCATCAACCTGGCTCACACTGTTGCCCCATCTCGGTGATTCCCTGAGGTCCCACCCCACTGAACTTTTGGACCCCCCTCAAGCTGTTTGTAGTGGCTTTTACATATGAATGGACTGTCTTGGTTCATACTTCAGAGTTTTCTAAATTCTCTCAAACCAGCAGTATCTAGCTTTAGTGTGCCCCACATCTCTTGCTAAGTGGTCCCAGGCTGGGCACTAGCAGCATCTAGACTCAGTCACAGTTAGGCCTCTCCTGAGCTCCTCAAAGCCCAGTATAAGTAGCATCTGCAGATCACTTGGTACCTTATGCCTAGTGACCTTGGACAAAACATAGGTTGTGGCTAAGCTTGGATGTGCCAAGAACAATCAAGGCTCAACTACAAGAGGGGACTGTACACAACCCACATGATGGGCACACCCTGAGTACCCAGCTTGAATGATAGGGGAGGCTGTGTTGTTGGAATCTATAGGACACCTACTATGTTAGACCACTCTTTCAAGACTGGGAGATGAAGCAGCTCTACCCAATACATAAAAGCAAAGGCAGAAAGGCAACCAAAATGAGGAGACAAAGAAAGATGGCCCAAATGAAATAACAGAACAAAACTCTAGAAAAAGAACTAAACAAAATGGACACAAGCAATCTACTAGATGCAGAGTGCAAAGCACAGGTTATAAGGATGCTCAGTGAACTCAGTAAGAACTTCAATAGCATAAAAAGATCCATTCAGAAGTGAAGGCTACACTAATTTAAATAAAAAATGATTTACTGGGAATTAACAGTAGAGTGGATGAAGCTGAAAAATCAAATCAGTGATTTGGAATATAAGGAAGAAACAAATCAGAACAGCAAGAACAAAAAAGAACCCCCCCCAAATTAGGATAATGTAAGGAGCTTCTGGGACAACTTCAACTATACCAATAATTGTATCATGGGTGTGTCAAACGGAGAAGAGAGAGAGCAAGAAATCAAAAACTTATTTGAAAAAATAATGACAAGAAACTTCTCTAACTTGGTGAAGGACATAGACATGCAAATCCAGGAAGCATAGAGAGTTCCAAACAAGACGAACCGAAGGGGGCCCATTTCAAGACACATCATGATTAATGCCACAGGTTAAAGACAAAGAGCAAACTTTAAAAGCAACAAGAGAAAAGCAGTTAGTTATCTATAAGGGAAATCCCATAGACTGTCAGCTGATTTCTCAAAAGAAACTTTGAAGGTTAGAAGGGACTGGCAAGAAATATTTAAAGTGATGAAAAGCAAGGACATACCACCCAGATTACTCTACCCGGTAAAGCTATCAGAATCAAATAACAGATAAATAACTTCTCAGACAAGAAAATCTAAAGGAGTTCATCACCACCAAACCAGTATTATGTGAAATGTTAAAGGGTCTTCTTTAAGAAGATAAAAAATATGAACAATAAAATGGCAATAAATGCATATCTATCAATAATTGAATCTAAAAAACAAAATAAACAGAAAAGCAGAGCCAAAACAGAATCATAGATACAGAGCCAGATGGGAGGGGGTGAAAGGGATGAACAAAAAAAGGTTATTCACCTTAATGGATTATGTACAAATAAGTAGTTACAGAATAGCCATGGGGATATAAAGTACAGTATAGGACATGGAGTAGCCAAAGAACCTATGCATGACCCAAGGATATGGACAGTGATAGGGGGATTGCTGAGGGTGTGGCTGGGTGGGATGGAGTAGGGCAAAGGGGGAAAAACTGGAACAACTGCAATAGCATAAACAATAGAATATAATTTAAATTTAAAAAACTCTACCTAGTACATATAAAAAATATCATCATTTATTGTAGCAGTCTGGGTCCGGTCAGGAATACAGGACCATGTCAATTACTTTAAAAGAAAGAATTTAATATAGAGAATTGGTTAAGCAGTTGTTAACCAAAACACAAAATAGGGACAGTGGGGAAGTAGTGACCACTGCCGAGGCTGGGAGAGCAGAGAGGAGAGGTTGGAGCTATTAGAACCTAGAAGCTTGAAAAAAGAATCCTATGGAGATGGAACAAAGACTGCCAAGGAAAGGGTGACAACATCTGAGGGCCTGTCATCACAGGAGCCTAGGGGCCCACAAAGCTGAGCCTTTGCTGATTCTGGAAGGTGCAAAAGAGAGCCGCTGGAATCAGTTGCGACTGCCAGGGTAATAGGCCATCACCAGTTGACGCTCTTGAGTATTAACAAGTATGCAAGTTGGGTTTGGAGCTGAGACACAGTAGCTTAATACATGGCTCATTCATCCTGTGTGCATTTACGGAGTGCTTACTGTGTGTCGAACTGTGAAGCACTCTGCTAGACACTGGGGAGTCTGAAGAACTAAATGGAAAACTCCTCTAAATAAAGAGCACAGCTCGGTGACTAGTGCAACACAGACCCAGCTCTCCTCTCTCAGGCCCAGTGGGAAACATAAAGAAAAAGAAATGGAAAACCAACAAAACACCAGCTCCTGCCTTTCAGGAGTTCCATGTTTAGATTAAGGGATAAGGCAAGGAGCAAAGTACCAAGTCATACATATACACTTTTAAAAGTATTTCAGACATAACTGTTTTAAGAATTCAGAGAAGCAAACAAATATTTTGAGGACTATCAGGGAAATCTTCACAAAGAAGACGGGGAAGAGCAACATCATAGTATTTCAACAACGGCCCAAACTGGCGGTACCGTACTGAACGGGAGGAAGCACACGCACACCTCAAGCACAGCGGGAACTTCCCGTGCACCGACGCTCAGCCCTGGTCTCAAGGAACGGAGGGTGGGTTTGTAATATACAGGATGGGAGGTGAGGCCTGCAGAATGTTTCTTGACTCTCTTTGAAGGCAAAGATGAGCTTTTGGAACTTTTGAATAAGTAGAAATGATGTATAAAAAGTTATCTTTGTCGTCCTTATCATATCTAACACAATACCTTACATACAGTGAGCTATTTGGAATAAAAATATTACCTTGAATAGGATGGAATGGAATGGAATGGGATGGAATTTTAAAATCAGGTCATAATTTAGAGAATCTGCATATATTTCCCTCTGTTTTAATTATAGTAATAAATACTTTGTGAAATGTTTTGTGCAATGAGGAATTTTAAATCTAAGCTCAGGAATAAAAAGATTCAAACAATGATAACAATTTAACAAGCGAAGATGTAACCCACCCATCAAGACATCGTGCCTGTTTTACAGACTGAACATGACATTGTCCAGTGTTGACTTTGCAGAGACTGGGAGGGACTGTTGAGAGTATCATGGGCCCTATGCAAAAAAAGTATTGGGCAGTATGTTTTTGAGTCAATTTTAGTGATTCATGTAGAAAAAATACTGTAATTGTTGTGAAGTTTGAATATGAGTTTGCAGAGCAGACAGTGTACTCCCACCTAATCTGTTGTTTTCTTCTTGGCAGATCCATTACAAGATTTTGGCTTTTCTGTTGACCAGTGTTCCAGACATTTAAAGTCAAATCTCAACATTAGATTTGGAATGATTCTGAGTAAGTAAAAGCTATCAACATGAAATAAAGCATTGCACAGACTCTACCTGGTCTGCAAGCCCAATTCCTCGTACTGACTGCAGTGGCAGGCTAAGCCACCTGTCCCCATCACTCTTGGGGATTAACTCTATTTTCATCTTCATCTTTAGTTCTCTCTCTGGGTATTATTCAGAGTAGAACTTTCATTTAATGCTGTGCTTTTTGTAGTGAAAAGACTCTAGGCACTCATTTGGATGATATAAGTGCCTGGAATCAGTGTATCCAGCAAAGAAAGAAAATATTTTTAGCCTAAGCATTGGTGTCTTCTCAGGAGAGAGTTTTTGTTTAGTTATCTCAGCAACAAACAAGTCTACTGCCAGCAACATTGCTTATATTTGTGCTATTTCATTTCCCAAATAGCTAATATAAATTCTTAAACCTTGACACACCCCAAGCAATTAACTAGAATGCTGTCTGATTGTTTATATTTATATGGTCATGCTGTTACAATTAGTCATTTTATTGCTATAGCTACTAGAGTAGCTCCTTTCTGAAAGAGTTTTTATCAAAACCAGAGCAGAAAGATTTCATGAACTTAGCATGTGGAATCATTCCACAGAAATGGAGGGAACATTCCCAGAGTCCAAGAACTCTCATGCATCTTTGTGTCTCCAAAATTTTGCACAATATCTGGACTGTATAGCAGCAGCAGCTCAAAAGCTTTGGAAAGAAAGAGAGAAACACAGAATGGAAGGAGGAGTAAGCAGAACACAAAAGGGAGGAATAGAAAAAGAGTTTCAGAAAGAATTGGAGACCAACACTGCAGAGCACCCTGCTGCTTCCTGTGTAACTATGCTACAGTATCTGCCTAGCAACGGTGGGGTTATGCAGGCTTGCCTGCACTCCAGAGCTATCAGAAGGCATCTGATACTTTGTTGCTAAAAAGTGGTGGAAACCAGACCTGCAGCCATGACATTAAGGGGCCATGCATCAGGGCAGGGGGACAGATAAACTCTGTTGCTCCAAGCAGTTAATGTTTATGAAAGGGCCTCATCTTATCCCCAGGCTGGTACCATAATGCTCTGTGGCAATGCTGTTTTGCCAACAAAAGAAGAAAACTGTTCCCTGGAGAGCACAGACTTCTGGAAATAAAAGTTCTCAGGGTTCGTGCTTTTGAAAATTTTGAATGCAGCAAAACCCACGCTGAGAGCAAAGCTGATCTTCTCTTTCCCTTTAGGAGAGGACATCAAAGAGTTGTTTCTCGACGTAAGTCTCTTCAGCGAAGGCCTGTCCATTTTGAGTTACTCCTATCCCATCTGTGAAGAGGATCTCCCCAAGTTTTCTTTCTGTGGAAGAAAGAGAGGGGGTAAGCTGTCTGGTTCACTGCCTGTTGAGGCCCAGGAACGGAGCCTGCTGCCAAGGTCAGGACACCTGGCCAAAGTCTGGGCCCTGCTCCTCACCTGTGGACAAGTTTCACCTCACTAGTCAGCATAGAAATGCTGTGTTATAAGCTGTTATATAAAAATAACCATAAGGCTCGTCCACAGGGCCTGCCTTACAGGGTGGGTGTGAAAATCAAATGAAATACGCATATGAGGTATCTTACAAACAGAACATCACATTAATGGTAACATCTTATTTATAAAAACAAAGGGCTGGAAACAAAGAACTAACAGCTTCCCCACATCCATTGCCATTCAAAGTGTTTCCAAGTTGCTCCTCAGCAGTCTCTTTACTGGCAGGGTTTCCTCAGTAGAGCAGTGGACTCTGAAAAAGAAGAAATTTAAAAAAAAAAAAAAAAGCTTTCTAAATGCCAGCATTTTACTGTGGCCTTTCTCATTTGAGTTATTGACTGGTGGGGCACCAGGTGGCTAAACTCAAAGTAAAGAAGTATAAAACCCACTGTATCATCCCCTCTTTCTGCAATCCCTAGCCCCCACCCCTGCCATACATACCTTAGAAGAGCCCTGGAAACCCACCCCAGCTGGTGTGCACCTTTCCTCTCCTCTTTGTCCTCACCCAGTGTCTTCACTGAGGCCCCAAGGTGCCTCTGTTTATTCAACCAAAAGTTGGGTCTGATCTGTGACTGTTCTTACCCAGAAATTTTTCTCTTCCTTCTTCTCTGTGTCTCCTTCCTATTCCCATTGGCCAAAGGGGAACATGCCCCTAACCACACACCCCAGAGACACACACTTATCTATTTACCTAGTCAAGGAAGCCAGAGGAAAATCACCCAAATATGCTTTTTAAACAAGAGATCTAGAGGCAGTTGGGGCTCCCTGCCCATCCTGAAGATGCAGACAAGGGAAGTGTGTCTATGCCAGAAAAGAAAAGAGGGAATTTAAGAGAGTGGAGGCTGGATGAAGCTGGGTAGACTTCACTATGTTGTGTAGGTGACCAAGTTCAGCTCAGCCCTCCCTCCTGACCCTTCTCTCTCAAAAGTATGTAATGTATGTATAACTGTATCATGGCACTTGTCGTATTGGCCTGCAATCTTTATTCCCACTTGTTACCCCCAATAGACCATCGGCTTCTTGAGGATGGGTAGCATCATCACATTTTATTCCCAGGATCTCGAATGTACCTGACACGTGGGGAGTGCTGAATACAGCAAACAGACAGAATGAAAAAGCTGACATTATTACCACTCACACAAGGCACAGTTCTGGGAGCTTCATACCCAGTAAGTCATTTACCCCAACTTTGAGAGTTAGCACTATGACTACTGTAGCTTTATAGATGCAAAAGTGAGGCACAGACAGTTGTAAGAACTTGCACCAAGCGAGAGACCCATGGCTCAAGCCCAGCCAGGCTGGCACCAGGGCCCCAAATCTCAGCTTCTAAAGCAATGAAGAAACAACAAATGGATGAATGTGTCTCTTGGCCAGAAGTTTATTTAAAAATAATTACTCAAAAACTCTTTCTAACCAGTGATATGACTTTGTTTCAGATTGGGGCATTTTTTTCTACCTAGCTAACCTGCCATAGAATGATTAGTCCGTTTTCTCTGAACTTACTGAAAGTACTTCTGATTAATTAGGAGTATTTCCTCAACATGAGGAGCTGTTCATTAGCTGCTCCCTATTTAGTTTTTCCTACCTGCCCTCAGCCATTGTCTCAAACTCCTCAATCCACAATTAGCCATTTTTTCCCTCCCTCCCTTCCTCCCTCCCTTCCTTCCTTCCTTCCTTCCTTCCTTCCTTCCTTCCTTCCTTCCTTCCTTCCTTCCTTCCTTCCTTCCTTCCTTCCTCCCTTCCACACTAAGTCCCTACTGTGTACCAAGCACTCTGGGGAGCCTGAAGATGAACCAAAAAGGTTTCCCCTTCAAGGACATTTATAATGACCAGGAGGAGATCAGAGATCCACAAAGTTGCTTCCTTCCAAGTTGCTGTGTGTGGTGTGTGCTTTGAAAAGGTACAAACAGAATGCCGAGGAAATTTGAGTTATAGTTCATTCCCAATAGGTTCAACATGATGGAATATGAGAAATCTGGGAAATCAAACAGAATTATTTTCCTGTTTGCCTTAAAGCTATTTGAAAGTCTGTTATAGGCTTTTCAGCATTTAATTGTGTATAGCATAATAATGCTGGTGGTCTGCACACATTTCTGATTTTAAAGAATGTTTTGAGGAACTAAAACATTTCAATAATTAAGTAATAATCCCTGAGAAAGACTGACAATTTCATAGGCTGCCACGCAGAGCCAGAGTCTATAGCCCTATCTCCCGTGTGTACTTGTGCTTCCAATCTTTTCCCAAAATAAGTATTTTTGAACCCAAACAGATATGTTTGAAAGTACTACCAGCTTAGTTCCTACTTCCTTCTATTCCCTGGATCAAGTCTCCCTGTCTCCTTCCTGGAAGACGTAAAAGACCTCCTAGGTGGTTTTCCTACTTCCTTACTGCTGCCAGGAATTAGTCTTCTCAAATACCGTTCTTTCTGATCAGGTTAACCCCCCTTCCCACCTGACTTCAAGGTTATCATTTCCATGGAACAAAGTCTAAGTTCTCTGGTGACCAAAGTTCACTGCAGATTTAACTTTAATCAGCTTTTCCAGCCACATCTTGGCTCACAGGCATCTTTGGCAACAGCTTTATGAAATCATTTGCCACTGCCTGCAACACCCTGTGTTTTAACACACATGATGCTGTTACGAGGCTTCCCTTAGCCTCTAGTACCTGTGCCCCACTTCTCTTCCATCCTGACCTCACTCAGGTATCACTTGCTCTCAGAAACCTCCTCCAACCTCCAACCAGTGAATTGTTCCCTCTGGATGCCCCCGAAGCATCCATTCCCACTTATCTCAGCCATAATTATATTTTGTATTTTATAGTTATATTGTGGGTATGTGTGTGCATGTGTCCCTTAAAAGCAGACACTTCAAATTTTGAACTCCTTGAAGACAGGACTGTGCTCCTCTGTCTCTGCAGACTCTGCAGACAAAGAGAAACTGGCACAGAGTAAAGATGCAGTAAATATTTGTTGTATTGAATTTCATGTGACAGGTTGAATGCAAATATGCTACCTCAAAAGTGATTATCTAATGATGCTTATGTGTGCCATGAAAATACAGGCACACCGGAACCCAGCAAATAGTAAATTATCTTGATTCTCTAAGTTTAAGAATACCTCTCCCCCCAACCCATGAGTGGTTTTAATTGAATTAATAAAATAGGATGGATATTGCCCCCCCTAAATTAATGGATCCAATTCAGTTTAGCAGTTCAAAAAGCTGGTGATTATGTTATTCAAATGCTGGACAGCCTTTCAGAAGTTTATTTGCTTTATTGCTATGGAGTTGATAGCTGCATAGGCAGTGAGAAGCCAGAACTTGGGAAATTGCCAGGAAATTTCATATAGTAAAAAAAACAACAGAAAAGTGATATACAAATGCTGCAGGAACAAATAATTATGTAAACAACTAAACCAAAGAAACTAAAACCTTAAATTCAAAGGCCTCTTTGGTTACCAAATTTCTTAACCTGCCTTACCAACCTACTGCAGGAATGATGCTATTGAAAATAAGTGATGAATTCTAAAAACAGAATTAACAGCAAAACACACCATCAAAGAGAACAGATATTAATCCAAACCCAAGCACAAGATGCCTTTGACATATTAAGCAGAAAGCAAAGTCCCTCTGGGGTTTGCAGGTCCTTCTCAGCAGAGCAGTGAGAACACTTGGCATCCGTGGTGGGCAGCCCGTTGTGTCAGTTCTAGCTGAGTTGTTTGATCTTCCCACAGCAGTACAGCGCGCCCTCTGCAACCTGCGTCCCCACTGGCTATTCTCTGAGCCAGACAAAACTACAATATGGGTCAAGCTTAGGGAAACTGTGCGAGCAAAATGTTCTGTTTTCTTCTGCATCTTTCCCAGCTCGTTCTGAGGCAAGAAAGAGCACACTGAATTTGAGGGCTAAGTGATATTCTTTTGGCATTGTCATTTATGGTGTAATTGGTAATTTGGGAAAAACAGCTTATATGTGTGATCACAGGTGATTGGCTAAATAGGCTATTGTTCAGTCAAGCAAAAGTACAATATGCTGTGCATTTAAATTACATGAAAATAAACTCATACGGGTATTGTTAGGTAACCGAAAAGGTTGCTATAAAAGATTTATCACCACTGCATCCTGTTTTTATTTAAGTGTGTGTAACTGCAGATCTTTATTTGTGTCTTTTTTTAAATTTCTTTTGCTTTTATAATAAATTTATATGGTTGCTCCTTTAAATATTAGTTGATGGTTGAGAAAACTGCGGAGGATGAATTCTCTTTCTCCATAGAGTAAGAGTTCTGAATAAATCAGTACCTACTAGTTAATAATATCTGGAGTTAAACAGAATGTTCTGAATCTGAGAGTTGCATAGAATGTCAAGGGATCATATGCTGTGCAATCTGTATGCCTTCTCTAGGATTCCCCCGCCCGCTGTAGCTCCCTTCACTGAGAAGGAATCAAAGTGGGTTCCTGTTCTACTTCCTGCTCCATTCGTGCTGGTTTAGGGCTCCCCTCTTCTCTGCTGGTCATACCAATTAACCTGCTGTATTTGATCTTCATGCGTTTAAACTAGGTCCATCAGCTCCACATCAATTTTTAAGACTAAATTGGAATTAAATTTAATGTACTCAATGACCACACCTAATTACTAACCCTAAGAAAGGAAGCTGCAGTAAACTTCCTTAATATTCAAGTTAAAAATAGTAATGCTGGTAGAACCACTGTGTGGTTAGTTAGCTTTGGTCTGGTCCACAGTCACAAGCTGTGCCATTTCCTGAGGTGATCTCAATCTCGGTTCCATGTTAGCTAGTCCCGTGCTGTTGTGGGTACACATCAGTTAGTCCTATGCTGTTGTGGTAGTTACACTTTTGTT